TTGGAGGATCACAAGAAGAACATGAAAACCTCATAGCATTAGTTGAGAAGTAACCACCTTGGTCCTTCATTTTGTAAGTAGAGTTGGTGTCTCGCGCATTGCTAACAAGTTATGATCCCTGATTTGCTAATGTTTGTCTTAGGTGGGATGAGCACTCCAAAGATGAGTTCTACTCTGAGCAAGTGAAAATATTGTTTTGTGCTATCTATACGACAGTGAATCAACTTGCAGCAGTGGCTTCTGCAGTACAAAGCCGTGATGTGCAAAAGCACCTGATAGAATTAGTGAGTTTCATTGTGTTCGCCTGATTCTCAAATTTTTTGTGTTCAGTGTTGACATGTTGAATCTATCTGCAGTGGCTTCAGCTGTTGAGGTCTATGATGTCTGAGGCAGAATGGCGGATGAGGCAATATGTGCCAACAATTGAGCAATACATGTCAAATGCAGTTGTTTCATTCACACTGGGGCCCACTGTGCTCACATCATTGTATTTTATCGGGGAAAAGATCTCGGACTGCGTAGTCAATGATCAAGAATACAAAGAGTTATTTAGGCTAATGAGCACTTGTGGTCGTCTTCTCAATGATATCCAAGGCCTTGAGGTATTTGGGCCCCCTTTTATGCTAAACTTCCTGTCGACGCACATCACATTCGCAGTATGTCATAAACATATGTGCTTCAGTTATATGCTTCACATACCACAACAGGCAAATTCCTTTCATCTTAATATAAACAAGTATCGTGATGGTTGCCCGAACAAACAGTAAACAGATATGTGGTGAGATAGAGACACCATCGCAGTCCTCGAGGACTACAAATTCTAACAAAAATCAAGATTTACAGTCCTTCATGATCATGTCAATAATTTATTCTTGTAAAACACACACCTAAATGCTTGTATGATATTTTTAAGAGTTTAAAACCATGGTAGAAGACGTGCTGATGCTTGCTCCCAGAAGCTAGAATTGAACTAATAGTTGTGTATCCTGTAGTTATATAATGATGATAATATAGAGAGTACTCCCTCTGTACCACAATACTTGTCGCTGGGGGAACCTATACTGGTTTCTCCCAACGACGGGTATTTTGGTACAGAGGGAGTAGTAATTACTCATCACTATTGCCATGTAGTTTAGACCTGTAAGCTGTAATTTGGTTCATGATGATGCAGAGGCCAGGGTCTTAACCCTTTTCGAAAAAAAAGCTGTAATTTGGTTGCTCTGACAGTTTTTTGATCTATTTGTAACAGAGGGAGAGCATGGAGGGAAACCTGGATTATGTCTCACTACTTGTTCACCACAGTGGTGGTTCTATGTCAATTGAAACGGCTAAAGAAACGAAACGGAAGTCCATAGCGTCATGTAGAAAAGACTTGCTAAAGCTGGTTCTTAGGGAAGACACTGCTGTTCCTAGGCCGTGCAAGGAGCTGTTCTGGAAGATGTGCAAGACAGTTCACTTGTTCTACTCCCAGACCGATGGATTTAGCTCGCCGAGCGAAATGGTGAGTGCGGTGAATGCAGTTATCAGCGAGCCACTGAAACCCCAGATCAGGAACCCATCGCCGGCCATGCAATCAGAAAAATTAAGGGTTTCCAATCAGGTGCTCTCTTGAAAACAGAAAAAAGAGCTGATGGGACGGATACAGCCGGCAGTAGACATACACTCCGTGTATGTGGCGTAAGCAGGAACAAATACTACTAGTGCTACTTATTTGATTTTTGACGGCGTTGATGTGAATTAAGCTTCGTATCTGCTGTAAGGCGCGTGTGTAAAACCTTACCCTGTCAACTCTGCTGCATCGTGTTCTTGGCTGTTTGTAATTTGTCAGTGCTCCGGTAGCTAGCTAAAGTGCATTTCCTGCATTTTGTCCTGTCAATATGGAGCTGTTTCACTGGGTTCTTGTGTCTATATATATCCTTCTCAATCTTAGTTATCACGTAGTACTATCTTGTAAAGAAATATAAGAGCGTTTAGATGACTACTTCGGTGATCTAAACGGTCTTATATTTCTTTACGGAGGGAGTACTATGTTTGTCTGGAGATGCTTAGTTGGATCAAGTGTGGAACAAAGAGTCGAGCTCGTGCGTGATCGGACAGAATCCAACTTTCCTAGTGCTACTAACTGGGTTAGCGTGAACACCAAGTTAGGCATACATCATTGGCTTAAACTAAACTAATTTGGTCAAGAAGGTTTAAAGTTACAAGAGGGGCACGCACGATTAAGCATCTTCCTGCCCAAGAAGCTACTAGTATAATGCACATGTCAAGGAATCGCCTTTACACGGTATCAGCAGTCTTGCCAGAATCAAAATCACACTAATCTCAGCTACTCCTTACTAAGCCTGCGGTGCTGCGTGGCCTCGAAACAAATGGAACAGAAAATTGGCTCATCGATCTGCAGCCTCATACAAGGTTGAACGCGCAACTGTCGTAGCCTGCAGAGATCATGACGGACAGAAACCCATGGTAAGAAATCAAGATCGATCATGAGGATTTATGCATGGCAGTGGCATGGCATAGCATGGATGGGTGGATGGAGCTTTCGGTCAGTCGAGGTTTGAGGACTTACTTGGGTCGCTGGTGACGATGGTGGCGGTGCCGCCGAAGTCGCAGGTGCCGCCGTTGGCCCGGGTCATCTGCCAGTAGCTGTTGAAGGCGTAGGAGGCGTGGGCCAGCACGGTGTCCGGCTGGGAGCAGGCGCCGGACGGCTGGATGGACCGGCACTCGGCGCCGGAGCCGCACGCGTAGTCCATGGCCTCCTGGAGGATCGGGTCCGGCACTGTCGGCTTCGCCACGCACCACAGCGCCTGCCCGGACCCCGGCGCCATCGGAGGGGCCAGCGGCGGCGGGTAGATGATCGGCGGCATGAACCCGCCGCCTCCTCCCCCTCCGCCACCTCCTCCTTCTCCTAGACCGCCTCCTCCTCCTCCTCCTACGCCTCCGCCTCCTCCTCCTCCTCCTTCTCCTCCTCCACCACCACCACCTCCTCCCTCTCCTCCACCACCGCCCCCTCCTCCTACGCCTCCTCCCTGTCCTCCGCCGCCCGAGCCTGGGCCGAATTCGTCGGGCGGGCTCGGCACAACGACGATCGGGCTGGGCGGCGCCGTCCCAGGCGGGCTCGGGGCGAACTGCGGCGGGTTGATGGGCGTGGGCGTGGACGCCGGCGTGCCCAGCCCCGGACTGGAGCCCGGGGTGGCGCCACCGCCGTCGGCCGGCGGGCTGGGCTCGAAGGAGGGCGGGACGGGGGTGATGGGCGGCAGCTGGTCCGGCACGGACGGGGTGGTGGAGGAGGGCGCCGTGGAGGTGAAGGGGGGCGTGGACGACGACGAGGGGGGAGCGTCAGGAGGGTTGACGCAGAACGGGGCATCGACGGCGGCGAGACTCGCGCTCGCGGCGTCGCTGCCAGCGCTGGCATCGAGCGACGAGGGAGGGGGCGGCGGCTGCGTCGGCTCCACCGCCCTGGCGAAGTTGAGCTTGAAGAGCACGCTCATCAGCGAGTTCCTCTTGCTCTGCCTCAGAGCTCTCGCCTCTGCTCCACCAACACAAAGACTCCAATTAGTGAGCACAATGCAGGTTAACAGACAGGTTAGCGAGAGCTGGTCACTGAGATCCGACACTGTGTTCACTCCAGTGACACCACTCAAACGCAGAAGAGAAGAAACGAATAAGGATTTTTTTTAAAAGACGCCGTTACAGTATCTTGGTTCACTGGATGGGCTGGGAGCAGTGAGCTTACCGCAGTGCGAGGTGGTACAGAGCATGAGGAGCAGGAAGAAGAAGAGCATCGACGGCGGCGGCGGCAAGCTGCTGATTCTGCAGTTGCGCGCCATGGTCACCACTCACCACGGTCGGTTGCTTGCTCTGCCCTCTACTGACACCGGTAGCCACTACTACTGTCTACTGCACCACTCGAGGAGGAGCAGGCGCTTGTTATATTATAGCTGAAGAAGAGGAAGCGTGGATCGGAGGTGGAAGCGGCCATCGGTAAGAGGAGAAGAAAGCAGTGGAAAAGCCGGCGGCAGAAAGAGGAAAAAGGGCAGATCGATGATCCATGTAGTAGATGTAAGTGAGGTGTGGTGGCGTGGCGACGATGATCCTGCCTGCTGTTGAGCCAACTCTTTTCGCTTTCTCCAGGAAGCGTCCCCGTCACTTGCATCCTACTAGTGTGCTTCTTCTGCCTTTCTTGCCGCTCAGTTTTGGTATCTGTGCTTAGCTTGCCACCGGGGCAAACGACCAGGCCAACTGAGCTGATGCCACCACACAAGACACAAGGCTGTCTGCCCTTTCTCCGCTTGCTCAAGGAAAGGAAAGGAAAGCGCGCAGTGTTTCTCATCGTCAGCGAACATGGACAGAGCAGAGGTATCTACTCATGACTTCAGGTGTTACAAGAAACTATACATCGCTGCTCTCTTTCACGTCCTACTCTCTACTTTGCTTCTGATCAGTGGATGTGATCATCTTTCCTAGTGCGATATGTGATCATTTTGCACGCCTTTTACATGCCTTATCAACGCACCAAACAACTGGCTGATACCTGCTGTATCTGCCTTTTCTTTTCACCTACAGCAGGCCAACAGCCAATAATAAACAACAACCCCGGAATTCATATATCAGTACCCAAGCAACATCAAGTTGCAAAATCGATATACATATGTTGCATTAAGTTGGTTCACCTCCATAACAGGCGCGTACTCAAGACCGTACCATATAGCATCACGTTACAGTTCATGCCGCAAACATCAGAGCTGCCACAGGTTTACTCAGCCAAATACACATGAGCCAGGTTCTACTACCTTCACAGTTCACATTCACACGATGTAACCCGATTACATTTTATAAACTTGCTAGCGTCTCGCAAAACTCGTTCCCCACTTCATACCAGCATTTACCAAATGATGACCATGTCCACGGAAACAACAAGGCTGCAAAATTCATGGCCTGTGCATGCCATTTCTCGGCCTCAAAGGCATGGTGACAGGGAGTTCTAGACAAAACCCACCTCAGAAATCGTAGTCCTTCAGACCCCTCTGGGAATCTGCCATCTCCATTTCCATTAAGCACTCCTCCTGGCTGAGCGGAGGAAGCCCATTCTTGTGGCGTGTGTAGTTGTGCTTGTGCCACCCGGACTTGCAGTGGTCTCTGTACAGCTTGTCCTCCATGAATATGTCACATTCTTTGCATCTTTTCTGCGGCTTGCCTGGTGCCTGGCCCTGGCTTTCCACTTCACTCGAAAGGCTCTGTTTCTGCATGGTCTCACTTAGCTGAGCAACAGCACCAGACTCCTTCGCAGGCACGGGCTGTGCCTTCTCCACATTGTCCTCGACATTGTCATATTGATCTGTAGAAGAGCCACTTTCTTTGTGTGCCGACACCGAGAGTACTTCCACCCTCCCTTGCACGTCCTTCAGTTTCTCTTCACACGAGTGCAGAACAGATGGTTCAATCTCACATACCTGCAATATGTTATTCGGAATTAAGTATAGTACACCAACTAATAGGGTGAAACATGACATGAAGATATCATGAATTTGGACAATAATTGCATCAGTGTCACAAAGGAGAGGAACACAAAGCAGCCTAAGTAGACTTGAATGTTGAGATCATTGTGACTGAAAGGTACAAAAGGAGAAAACGGGCAAGCTTCTCAGTAATAGAACTCCCACTAAATGATAGCATAAACCATTCACCAGCTGTATAGCATTTTTGGGGGGACCAGAATGAATACAGCATCCTATTATAACTTACGAAACACAAGTTCAATGGGGGAACTCACATGATAGAAATCATAATCAGGCAACACATTAACAGCTTGGAAAAGATAATCTAAAAGACTTACAATGGAAGACTGATCGGCAGATTCATCCTTTGAAAGAACAATTGCATTCCACCCATCAAGCTTCTCCATAAGGCCAGAAAGATTGGACTTAGGTGCAATGAATCGCACTGTCAATGGTGCACGCTTTATACGGTATTTAGGGTTCTCAATTAGCTTCTTAATAACTTTCAGTGCCTGAAATATGGATGAAGATACAAATTAAAAAAGGAAACGGGAGTAGATAACAAGTCTACACAGATGTACTATAACAATATTAGTATATTACGACCTCCGTCACATTGTCCCAAGCGCAGGTAATAATAACCAAGGTAAAAGCATAAACACAGGTACCATCAGTACTGTCACAAAGAATTCCTAATTCCTTGAGTATTTTTATCACATTATGGCAGTGCAAGGTACTGGCATTGAGTGACTCCATCCAAAAAGAGGTTAACTAGGGTAGCCCAAACAATGGCCATCGGTTGAAAAGAAAAACAAAGACAGATCCGACAAAACTGATAGACAATGCCAGGTGCATAACAAACAGAATAGCATCTACAGTGTGGAATATGAGTGAATATCTCCAGAAAGATTATTCATATTACAAGTTTTTCCGGACGGAGGGAGTATGTAATATGAATGAATATCTCCGGAAAGATTATTCATATGCACATACTTGCGACTGAAGTTGCTGTCTTGGCAAGGACTTGTACATGACATCAATACTCAATTTCTTCCAATTGGGACCAATGCAGATAATTAGATTGCGTACAGTAAGATATCATCACTTCAAGCAAAATATTCTAAGCTAGCATGGCAACTTCCTAATACTCCTGTAATACAGGAATCAGAAGGTGGGCTGTTTGTAATGTGTACAATAATTTGGCCTAAAGCAACATTTCCTTGAAGAAAATGCACTGCAGGTGATGAATGAAAATGACGGATGCTAAACAAATCGTGATCCTCCATTATATATATAGACACACACACACGCACACACACACTAAGGGTAGTACATATCGAGAGCAGAGAGCAGGCAGCTACCTGCTCCTTGGAGGTAAGATTTGGATCGACGGCAAAGTGTATCTCGTGCATGATGCTCTCGATCATGTTCATGGTGTAGGGGCGCCGGGTCTCAGTACTGATAGTCTTCTCCATGACGATGGTGGCGATGTCCCTGAACTGGGAAGACAGCTGCGCCTCCCTCTCCTTGCCAGAAACCTGGAGCTCCCCTTTCTCCAAAATCTGACAGAGCACAACAGCAGCAGCAACGATTAGCAGTCGAGCCGGAAATCAGCACGAAATTAGCAGGACCCATCCAATCCAGTCCAATCCACGGCGGGAGTCGGGGAAGGAGGGAGGAGGACCTCGAGGCAGATTTCGACGAGGTCGTCGGTGGCGAAGATCCTGATGAGGTCCTTGGACTTGGCGAGGACGCCCTTGGAGACGTTGGAGTAGACGTTGTGGGACTGGAGCACCTCGTCGAGGTCCTTCTCGACGCGGTCGCGCCAGTTGACCACCTTGTTGGGGAAGCAGGCGATCTCGAACCGCTGGCCGCCCTTGCGCAGCCGCACCACGGCCACGTTGGTCAGCCGCTTCTGCCCCACCGGCTGCACCAGCGTGCGGGACATCTCCA